CTTTGTGCAGCTCACTCCTTCGTGCAGCGTTTGAGGCTGCAGGAGAGCTCCAGCAGCAGGAGGCAGAAGCTGGCCCAGTCCATCAGCAGGTGGGCTCAGACCCAGCTCCCCCATCGGTCAGACCAAAGCTAAAGGAAAGGAGATGAGGCTGACCGGAGGTTTTGCTTGTGGTCTGTTTCAGGATGCAGCAGAGGAGGAAAGGCTCGACCGGATCCCCGTCCAGCAGCAGCTCCCCGGTGCTCACTCAGATAAACTCCTCACACCGTTACACATCTTTACATTCAGGTTTTAGATGAATGAAGGGCTAGTACTGTCAATTGTTGTTAAAGGAGGCATATTATACCCTATTTCAACAAGTTAAACTAGTTCCCTGGTGTCCTAATGTAATGTCTGTGACAAGCTTTGGTCAAAATCCCATCAGGATGAAGCCCAATAGCAGTTCAGTCCCCCTGCCTAACCCTAACCCTAACCCAAAACAGCCCCGTTCAGAGCGCTCGCTTTGGAGTGCCTGTCTCTTTAAATGCAAATGAGACACAGCCAATCCACCCACTTCTTCAGGGAGGTGTGCCCACGTCGGCACGCTAACGCTACCATGCTAACGCTACCATGCTAACGCTACCATGCTAACGCTACCATGCTAACGCTACCATGCTAACGCTCACGCTATCACGACGTCTGCCACAGATAGGGGAGTAAGCTGAGGGGGGGGGCAACATGCAGGTGAAAGGCTGGAATATTATAATGAGCTAGAGTTAATGACGTCAGAAACTACTCCTGAAACCTCCTGATTTATCTCCTGGATTCAGACTGAGGCGGCCCACAAAAATTAATATTTTTCACACTTTGCCTGCTGATAGGCCCTCCACAAAACTTGGTTTTGCATAATATGTCCCCTTTAAGGAATCTCCATTCAAGAAAGTGTATCACTTCTTTACGATAAGTACGAGTTCCATTCAAATCCAAAGTCTAAGGTAATCCTTCGGTGGATGAAGGCTGTTTAAACCAGTTCTGTTATTTCCAGAGGAAGTGAGGATACCTATTTTTATATTTTACAGGAAACAGATGTAGTAGAATCAGATCCGATCAGATTTAAAGGAGTAGTGTTTAATAATTACTGACATCTATCACCCGTCTGGGGCCACTAAGACCAACAGAAACTCGCTAATCCAGTCTCAGCTACAAGCGAATGGAGAATGAAAAGAATGAAGAAACGACCTGCTACCGCCAGTATTTTAGTTTGGACTAAACAAACCCAAGTGGCTCATAATGGATATAGCTCTGCCTCCACCATAGTCTTCGTCATCCGTTTCTCTATGCTAACTTGTTTAATGGCTTTATTCTGTGGCTGTAAAAACAGAGTCGTTGCCTCCTAGCTGCAAACCACGGACTCATTCAGAAACTTAGACTTTTAGTATTATGCACGGCTTTATTTATTCTCGAGTAATCGATGCGTCTCGACACCAAACTTTTGTTTGGAGACGTTTTGCTTGTTTTTGTGCAGTTTTCATGCTAATTGAACCAGGCTCCAGCTTTTAGTTTAGTTTAGTTTTATTAGGATCCCCATTAGCTGCCAAATAAATGACCACTAGTCTTCCTGGGGTCCTCACCACTTTCTGTGGGGGTGGACTCCAGGACGGGGCTGGGATAGGACGCTCTTCCACATTATTTGGCACACGACAACTTTAATTCGGTTCTCTGACTAGGGTTGTCACGATACTAAAATTTTCAACTCGATACCGATACTCAGGAAAATACTCGATACTCGATACCATTTTCGATACCACAAGGATAAAAACAAAGACCCCCAAATTTAACTGAATTTTGACAGGTTAGTGTCTTTGGTTTCAAACGTATTACTGATGTTATCGTGACTGGTGGCCCACATTAATGACCCTAACCCTAACCCTCCAGCCTTCATAATGGTGAGAAATAAATATTTTTTGGTTAAACTTGTTTGGACTACAAACCTATTTAACATCCACTATTTTAACATAATATTATGTATAGAGTTTAATTAAGTGTTTGAAAGATTAATTTAACTATTTTTAAATTAATGTCTATATTGCCATGAAGCAATTAGGATTTTCTTGCCTGGGATCTTCCTATTGGTGACCTAATAAAATCCACACTTGGATGTGGGCGGAGTTGGATATGTACAGTACTTGATTAATGGTAGCATGTTATTATTAGCCATTAGCCGCAGCTAGCAAGGCTAACGTCTTGGTAGTGATCATAAACAACGTAAATAAATACATAAATATATCCGAGATAAGGGTTCGGTGGTATCGACACTTTTGAAAATGAGTATCGTATCCGGATACAATATTTTAGTATCGATACTTTTTCGAGTATCGATAACTTTGACAACCCTATCCTCCACATTATTTGGCACACGACAACTTTAATTCGGTTCTCTGACTGGACGCGGATGTGTTTTTGCAGATGAGTGCGGACCGGAGGCGGCTAAGGAGGGGGGAGACGGTGGAGGTCTGCAGCCCCGGCGGGAGCCCCGATTTCCGGCCTCGGCTGAGGGAGAGGCCCCTCGGGCGCTGGCACACCCTGGACTCCGGCCTCCTAACACCGGAGGAGCCTGAACCCAACACTCCCAACTCCAAAGAACATTTTCCCCAAAGAGCCGACCCCCACATCGACCCAGTTGAGGTTTCTCAGCAGACCCATCCTGCTGGCCGGTCAGACCTCGGTTCGTTTTCCACGTGTTTACACGCGTTCTCACAGGCTAAAGGCTCGACCGAGGCCCATAAAGGAGCCCCGGGAGGTCCTCACGGACGTCCCCCCGGAGAGTCAGCCAACGCCCCCGATCGGAGGGCCTCGCCTGGAAGGACAGAGAGCCAGGAGTCCTCTGAGAGGGAGGCGGCCCGGTTGGGAGGCGGGAAAGAAGAGGGAGGATCAGAAGACCCAGCTCCACAAGAGGGAGGTCCAGAAGAGGGAAGTCCAGAAGATGTAGGTCCAGAAGTCACAGCTCCAGAAGACAACTGTCTAGAAGACGCCTGTCCAGAAGATGTAGGTCCAGCAAAAGCAGGTCCAGAAGACCCAGCTCCAGAAGAAACAGATCCAGAAGACTACTGTCCAGAAGACGGAGGTCCAGAAGACCCAGCTCCAGAAGTCACAGCTCCAGAAGACTGCTGTCTAGAAGACGCCTGTCCAGAAGACCCAGGTCCAGAAGAGGGAGGTCCAGAAGAGGGAGGTCCAGAGGACCCAGCTCTAGAAGACCCAGCCCCAGAAGAGGGAGGTCCACAAGACGCCTGTCCAGAAGATGTAGGTCCAGCAAAAGCAGGTCCAGAAAACCCAGGTCAAGAAGACAGAGGTCCAGAAGACAACTGTCTAGAAGATGCCTGTCCAAAAGACGCAGGTCCAGAAGAGGGAGGTCAACAAGAGGAAGGTCCGGAAAAGGCAGGTCCAGAAGACCCAGCTCCAGAAGAAACGGATCCAGAAGAAGCCTGTCCAGAAGAGGCAAGTCCACAAGAGGGATGTCCAGAGGACGCCTGTCCAGAAGACCCAGGTCAAGAAGATGGAGGTCCAGCAAAAGCAGGTCCAGGAGACACCTGTCCAAAAGACCCCTGTCCAAAAGACCCAGCTCCAGAAGACAGAGGTCCAGAAGAGGGAAGTCCACAAGAGGGAGGTCCAGAAGACCCAGGTCAAGAACACAGAGGTCCAGAAGACCCAGCTCCAAAAGAGGGAGGTCCACAAGAGGCTGGTCCAGAAGAAACAGATCAAGAACACGGAGGTCCAGAAGACGCCTGTCCAGAAGAGTCAGGTCCAGAAGACCCAGCTCCAAAAGATGGAGGTCCAAAAGAGGCCGCTCCAGAAGTCAACTGTCTAGAAGACAACTGTCTAGAAGCCCCAGCTCTTAAAGAGGCCGGTCCAGCCTCCTCCCCCGTAAAGCCTCCGTCCAGGACGGCAGCACAGAGCGTAGACGGCCTGGAGACGTAGCGGCTGGGAGCAGTCGCGTCCAGAGACTGTCCGAATGAGGAGGAAAAGGCCTTTTGGTTGCCTTTTTGAAGAAATTCTTCATTGTTTTTGGTTGACCAAAAATATTTAAAAACCCTTTTAACAAGCACA